GTTAAAACACCTGTAACCAAACGACATGCTGTATGTGATGATGGGTTTTTTTTGTCTGTGTGTGTGTGTGTGTGTGTTTTTTTTATTTTATTATTGTGCGTAGGTGTGGTTTATGTAATAAAAAATAATTTTTTTAAAAAATGTTGGAAGATGGGCCAGATCCAAACAAGATTATAAGCTCCATGCAAGTCCAACTTGCTGAAAACGGTAGCCTCCTGGAGCCATTCCAACAGTTCAGGCATAAGCGGCAGAGGATACCAATTGTGATGGTGTTTACAGATGGTGTCTGGTCTTCTTTTTCACGAATAAGACTGTGGCTGCAACGAGGGTCAGATAAAACCCCAAGCCAGACTTTTGTTCAGAAAGTCCTGCAACACAGCCAATTCAGGGTCCGACATCAAATACAAATGCCCACTGGGAGTGGTGCATCTGGAATCAAATCAATGGGGCAGTCATATGGCCGGTGTGGGGGCAATTGGCCCGCCTCTTGCTCACTGAAGACATTCATGAAGTCTGCTATATCAGAAGGCAAGGACATCCAAGATGGATTCAACAACCGGCCTGCGCAGACTTGGCAGGTGTGGTCCACGCATTGCAGGCTCAGGAAAGAGATGAAGTTCTGGGGCCAGTAGAGTTGCAGATCATGCGTCCGGAGCCAAGCCAAGCCCAAGACCACAGGAAAATGCAGGCCAGAGGTAATATAGAACTGGATGGCCTCCTCATGAGAACTGATGGTCAGGTGCAAGGGTTGCATGGCGGCTTTAATAGGCCCAGACAGAAGCACCTGGCCATCAATGGTCTCCACGAGCATAGGAGGATCCACTGGACACTGAGGGACTGCGTATTTGGCTGCAAACACGTCCATAAAGTTTGTTGTAGCTTTGGAGCCCACCAAGGTGTTAGCCGGAATCCTCTGTGGACTACTGGTCAGGATTACTCATGCCACGGGGGTGGGGTGGTGGGGTGGGCAGCATCGCAACAAGTCAATGTTCTCCTCGGGCTCTCCTGTTGATATTGCGTAAGATCAGGGGGGTCTCTTTTTGACTGAAACTGTCCTGTAGGAATGATGAATGAGAGAGGCACAAACCGGTGAGCACAGGGAACTCACAAATTCTCTTGTTTGGCTGGAAGAAGCTTCTCAACCAGATGACTGGGAGAATGGACATTGTGAGCCGTTAAGAAGCTGGGGTAGCCACAACAGAATAGTTGAAGTAAATGAAGTGTGAATCAACTGGGTGCTCCTTGTTTTACTTTAAAAAAGATGTTTCTTTTCTAATCTCCTTGGACTAAGTAAAACAGGAGAAAATGGCACAAGAGAGGAGGTGGGAGTATGTGTGTGCGTATGTGTGTGCGTGTGTGCTGCTTCACCTCCGGTAATGTAGCTGTGAAAAAAGTGGGTGGGCCCAGTGGAAGAAGAAAGAATCGAAAGAAAAAATGATTTGGAAATGAAAGGACAAGGACTGGAATCCTGATTAAGTATTTTTAAATTACTATTTTTGATATTTTGATTAAATTGAAATAAAATTAAATTAAGATGGTAAAGGTGATTAAATGAACTATTTTTACAACATTGCTTATTTTCCCTGTTCAAGAGTTAATTATAGTGCCATCTAGAGATACAAGTTTGATTGACCATTAATTAAATGAACTGTTGTTATTGCATCTTGACTGGGATAGAGCCTGATTGGAAAAGTGGGGACTGATTGGTGATTGGATTTATACTAGAAAACATATAATTTTTGGACTTTTGCTTTTTTTTCTCTCTCTTTTCTTTTTTTGAGATATAAAGCCTTTTTTCATTACTCCTCTGTTCTTCTTTGGATTATTATTTGGATCAAAGAGAGCCAAGAATGATCACATTAGCAAAACCTATTAACAAGTAAATTATGGAAGGAGAAATAAACATTATATCAATAAATCTAAATGGACTAAATTCGGCAATAAAAAGGAAAATAACTCTTACCAAATTGGACAAATGAAAAATGGATACAATATGTTCACAAGAAGTTCACATTAGAAAACAACACAAAAAACTTTTGGAATAGTCAAAATTGGGAGAATTATATACTGCAGTGACACACAAATGTAAAAGAGGTGTAGCATAATACGTCAAAAAGACAATAGAATCCAAACAAATTTTTGCTGATGAAGAAGGAAGGGAGACTAGTATAGATCTATTTCAAGCTATTTAGCTCTCATCAGCTAGCCATACCCTTACTGGGATTTGAATATTTATCAGCACAAATACAACAAATGTAACAAAAAGGCAACAGTAAAAATATTGGGTTTCTGCCTGGATGGTCTCTTGTGACGAGCCGAAGGACAGAGAATGGATGTAGTGATCTTCCTCCCATATTTGGGCATACCGGGGGTTGTAAAAGAGAATATAGACATAGACATAGACATAACAAACATCCCTTGCTCCAAGATTCCTTCTGCTAAATCTCTTGCTAAGATGTTCATCTCCCATATTTACCGCTTGCATGGGGTGCCCGACCGCATCACTTCGGACAGGGGTGTTCAGTTCACCTCCCTCTTCTGGAAAGAGTTTCTGAAGCGGATTGGCTCCGCCCAGGGATTAAGCTCCTCCCACCACCCTCAGACTAATGGGGCTTGTGAAAGGACTAATTCTGTGCTAGAACAATATTTACGGTTTCATCAACTACCAACAGGATGATTGGGTGGATTTGTTGCCTCATGCTGAGGTGGCTTACAATAATTCCATGCTCAGCAGCACTGATTTTACCCCTTTTTGTGTGGTGTTTGGCCAAGATTTTGTGCCCATTCCTGAGATTCCTCGTGAGCAACCCCAAGTGTCATCGCTGTCCAAGTGGAGTGATCGCCTTCAGGACATTTGGCCTTTGGCTCTCCAAACTCTGGATGCTGCACACCGCGCTCATAAGAAACAGACTGATAAGAAACGGACTAAACCCTATGAGTACAAAGTTGGTGATCAAGTTTATTTGTGCACTAGATTTCTTCAAACACCCCAAAAGTCGAAGAAACTGGGGCCCAAATATGTTGCCCCGTTCCCCATTGTCAAAATCATCAACCCTGTTTCTGTCTGGCTCCAGTTGCCTAAGCATCTCAACAGGGTTTACCCTGTTTTTCATGTTAACTTTCTGAAGCCTGTTTGCACTTCTTCTTTGAGACCACCTCTCCCACCTCCACCCACTCCGCTTTTGATTGAGGGTGAGCAACATTTCGAAGTCTGTGAAATTTTGGACTCTCGTAGACGGTGCAACCGTGTCCAGTACCTGGCGGCTTGGAAGCATTTCTCCCCTTCTCACACTGAATGGGTTGACGGGTCCCATGTTCGGGCGCCTCGTCTGCTCCGCAAGTTCTACTCTGCTTATCCTGACAAGCCCTGATTTTGGACAATCCCCTAATTTTCCTTTTCCTTTGTTTTTCTCCCTTCCCCTTTCCCTCTTTCATGTATTGTTGTTTGTCTGTGTTCTTTTCGTTTCTGCAGGTCTGACCGCTCTTTTCTGGAGGGGGGCCGGATGTCAGCCTCTGCTTTGCTGCTGCTTCGGCTGCCATTGAAACAGGGAGGGGGGGCATGGTATTTGGGAGGGGAATCATGATGTGCTGGAGAAAGATTCTAGACGCTGACCTGACCATCTTACTGCGCATGTGCAGGAAGGGAGTTTCCGGCCAAGGTTAACTGTCCAGCATTCCATCCTGGTGATGACTTTTGAAGTTATCTCCCACCTGACAAGTTGGGTGCATTATAATTGGACTATGGACAGGGGTGCCAAGGGGAGGGGATTGAATTATACATGATACTTTTCGCGCCTAATTAACCAGAATTAGCTTAGCTTTGCTACTGTTCGTTTATAATTAGTAAAAGTACACTTGATTTCAAACAAATGGAGTTGAGTGGTTTCTTTCCTGATTATTAAATGAAGTTGCAGCTGACAGAAGGATTCTCAAACAATTATAGTCAATTGAAAATGGAGATATGCTGATGGTGACATTCATGAATATTTGACTTAAACTACTTAAGTTAATATGAATTATGTTTGTTGACTGTGGAAGAGATGCACGAAAGTCTTTTTGTAACCAACTGATACATTTTCTATAGCATGAAAAGAAGGATGTTGTATTTGTTTTAAATTAAAAATTAAAAAAAATATTTAAAAAAAGAAAAAAGAAGGGTTCCCTCTCTTATGGGTAGTTCTTCCATGCATATCCTTGGGTATGTTGGGAACAACTGACCATCATTTCTTTGATCAAAGATTAAACGCTGATTGTTATTCAAGCCTCTGTTTAAGTCTCATTTTTAGCTCATTGTGGCTTGGATGTATTCTCAAACTTCAATGCGTCTAAACCAGAGATGGGTTCCTACTGGTTTGGCCTGATTCGGCTGAATAGGTAGTAACTTGACGGCCTGGGTCATAGCGACCCAGGCCTGCCACGTCCCCAAACCGATTTTCTCAGCGGCGGCATAAGCACCACCATCTTGAGTTTTGCTTTTGCGCATGCACAGAGCAATATTTATTATTGGTCCTGAATATCTCCATGTTTATTTGTAACAGAGGACTTCAAAATCTGTTGTGAAAAATGTCCAAAAACTTTTTATCTTCATTTTCCATATCTTACACTATTTTCTATCATACCTCTCACGTTCTGCTTTCTCTCCAAACTAAAAATGGTATATAATGTTTTCTATTTTGATTGCCTAATAATGCTGTTTAGGATTGTGTGTGTATTATTCTAGCTTTCCCTTGAAGTGCAGTGACAGAACTGAACAGTGTTTTTCAAGAGCATTCTTATAGAAACCATTACCATATTGACTATTTTTAATTTTCTCCTAGTGATTCCAAATATAGAATTTGAGCTATTGATCAGGATTCTAAAACCCATTTCCTCCTCAGTTACTGCAAAGTTTACACACATATGCACACAATTGGATTTGCTGAGTGGTAGCGCTAGTGGTGGGACTTGAATAACTTAACAACCAGTTCTCTGGCTGGGTAGGCATGGCTGATGGTCATGTGACTGGTTGGGTGACATCACTCATCACACTCAGCCCTGCCTCCCAGCCACTCGCCTCAAGGGCAGAGGTAGGATTCAGCCAGTTGGGACTAATTGCACCACTGGTTGGCCCTGCCCCACCCATTTTTGGCCATTTTTTGGCGTTTTCAGGCAATTTTGGGGCCATTTTCAGGTCATTTTTGGACCATTTTCAGGTCATTTTTTGGTCTGTTTTCAGCACATTTTCCAGGTTGTTTTGGCCAAAAAACAGCCCAAAAATGGGCCAGAAAATGGGCCAAATATTAGCAGGCAGGGGTGAAAATGCTACTGGTTTGGGCTTGTTCATCTGAACTGGTAGTAAAAAATGCTACTGTTTGCCTGAACTGGTAGTAAAAAAAATGCTTTAAAAAGTAAAAAAAAGTTCCAACAATCAGCTGTGTGACAATCAGCTATGCCATGTGATCGTCAGAACTTTTTTTTTTACTTTTTTAAAGTATTTTTTTAATTCTGATCAGCTATGTGACAATCAGCTGTGCCTGGTTGTCTGTGATGTTCCTGTTTGTTACAGGGGCCATTTTGTGTGAAGTCCAGCTGCTTTTACACTATGTGTGAGTCAGTGGTGCAGCCACGCTTGCACGGTCACATAGCCACCAAATCACACCCAGTCATATGACCAAGCCACACCCACCCAATCACATGACCACCAAGCCATACCCACAGAAATGGTAGGGAAAATTTTTGAATTTCACCACTCCAAGCGGGGATGAGGCCAGCCAGTGGTGGGATTTTCTGGTTTGCCGAACTACACAGAATCTTAACTACCGGTTTGCCCAAACTGGTGTGAACCAGCAGCAGCCCACCTCTGGGTAGTGCACTTACTTTGTATGC